GCTCGTAGCTGAAGGGACCGGGGGGGGGGGGGCAATAGTCAGGTACTAGGAGACTCCGCGTAAGCTACTCTTGTGGCTTTTTAGACGATGCGAGACGCCACCAGGCTGAGGATAAGGGAAGAGCAACCAATAAGCAGCAGTTGTGAGCATCAGAGAAGAGGAAGTGGAAGAGGAAGAGGGAGGAGACCGATGGACGCCTCGGTTTCTGCAAAGTTCTCCTCTCAACAGAGAGGGTGAGAAGAGAGAAAAAAACCCAAATCTCTAGTCATCACACGCGACGTGTTGCTGTCACACACAGTTTTGGGGAAAGCTCGCAGCATGTCTGGGATCTCCTCCGGAAGCTACCCTATGACACCCTCATATCAAGGCCGAAGAGAGAGACAGAGAGAGACAGAGAAGGCAAAGGAAGTAAAATAGGTGGGAGCTGCGAAGAAAAGAGACTGGCTAGGCTGCCCTAGCAGGCTAAAGCATGCACGACCATGGCTGCTTCCCTTGTTCTTCTCTGCTTGTGAGTGAAACATAGACTCAGAGAGAGAGAGAGAGAGAGAGAGAGAGAGAGAGAGAGTAAGGGAGGGAGGAATGGGATTGGGGGGCGGGGGACGTCATAGGCTCGAGGAATCCTTGTGTAGCTGATCAAAAGGGGTAGGGGGCTGCCGTAATGGTGCCAAATCATTTCATACACGGCTTGGACACGTCCGGAAGAGGGGTCACATGCTCACCCGGTATTCCTTTTCCCCAGTTCTCTCTCCAGGAACCCAAATGATAATAGCTAGTAAATCAAATAACAAAATAGCTCCAAGAAGCTCTCCTCACCCACTTACCGTCATTACAAGGCAATTCTTCACCCCATCAAAAGGAAGTACGCCGAAAAAATCGTTTGTAGAATGCGAAGCTGAAGCTCAGTGTTCGTCGTCGTGTCCATGTACCATCTCCTTGTTTGCCCAAATTTAGAGACACGTAAGAGAGAGCAAGACGGTCGCATCTAAAAAGCAGCCAATATATTAGAGAGAGACAAAGATGATCAAAGGGGAACAGTTTTATCATCTCGTTGAAATATTCGTCTGGCGATAACATCGATACGTGAACAGCGTTCTCATATAAAACACGGTCGATATCTGAGAGTGGGAGAAGGAGAATCAAATGACCTCTTCCAACATCTACTCTTTCCAACTGGAAACAAGTCCCAAGTTTTTTATTTATTTGTCGCTGATCTTCGCGGTGATGAACCCCCTAATACTGGCCTTCACATGCTCCACGGCATTCGTAATTTACTGCCATGTCCCACTTCTATGTGCTTGGAAAAAGGTTATAAGTAGCTTTTCATATTATTCCCTTCCATAGGACCTCTTTTTGACAGCAATTCTGTCCGCGAAATCACCCGTCCAGAAGGCCTCGTTTCCTCACGCCAGATACACTTCCATGCCAGATACATTTCCATAATATAAAGGTTAATTCCACTCTGTTATGGCATACAATGATCAAGGTAATTTTTACGGGTTGTTTCGCCTCTGCTTTTATGGAGGCATGGTACGTGAGAAAGTAGCCTTCAGTTAATCAGTGAGTGGCTCCCCTCGTTCACGGGGCAGGGGGGGCAGAGAGACGTGCAGACAGTGAAAGCTTATTCTTGTGCGTAGACGAGTTTCCACTCGCACGTGGCGGAGTGTCCATGCCCAGAGAAGATATCCCCTCCCCGGAGGACGTATTGGTCTGTGGGTGTCTCCGAGACGAGGAATTGTACAGGAGCAACTCCCCTCTGTGTAGGCCAGAGGGGGAAGAAAAGAGGTAAGATCACATCGGAGAACAGTGGTGGGAGATGGATGGATGGACATTGGTCATGTCGCGGAGAGGCCCAGCAGCGGGAAATGTGGCATCTTTCGTGGGTACGTGTATCCCTGGCACGTGTGGACTAATAGATCCTCTCTATCCCTCTCTCTCTCCCCCCAACCGTGTTATCTGTCCTGTCAGAAGCATGGGCCTCATCTCCACTGGATCTCTACAAAGAGATGGAGACGCTTCACTGAGGAAGAAGAGGAAACGTATGGAAGATAGGGGCGACCAGGGAGAAGAAGGATCATTTTAACTGGGCATCACCGTTGTCGGCTTCACATGCCCGCTCGAATAGAATCCGATCGACCCGTAATGATCGTCTCCTAAGATTTGGGGTTGGAGGTGTTATATGACGATACACTAGAGTGGGACAGAGAGAGAGAGGGAGGGAATCTCGTAGTCTTATGGACTACTGCTACTAGATGTAAAAGAGAGCCCTAGAACGATTTAGTTAGCGTCGGGATTTGAGGTATCTCTCGCCCTAATCCCTATTTGAGGAGGTTTCTTTTTTTCGTGGTTGTAGTTGTTCACATAGTGAGTGACAGATGTGTGGCGAGGGAGAACAGCTGGAGAGAGAGGGGAGAAGTCAACTCTCCGGGGACAGAGGGGGAGGCGCGTCGTAGGGCTCGAGAATGCCACAGCCAGACACAATTATTGGGAGTAGCACTCATCTTTCTTCCTCTATTTCTCGCCCCAACCTTTTCCAGGCGTTTCGTCTATCAACGGCATAAACGAGCGAGAGAGAGAGGTCTATAATGGCTTCCTTACACTGGCAAGCTCGTGAAAGATAGGAACTTACTCTGAACCGCCTCCTTAGGAACCTCTTTTCTCCTCATGCCTAAAAGATGAACTGCCCCTGCAGCAAGAAACCCTAGAGAGAGAGAGACAGAGCCAGATGGGGGTCACGGCTTCGGACCAACCCCGAAAACGCAGCCGTACCGGCGGGATTTCAGGCCGGCGGTAAAAGAATTAAGTATTGGTGTAATAATGTCATCCATGGCGTTCGTAATAAAGTATCGAACGGAACAGTAGAAAGGAGGGAGGAGGGAAGATGGAAAAGAAAAAAGGAATACGATGAGAGAGAGAGAGAGAGAGAGAGGCATAGATCTCCCCATGCTGCTCGGCTGGCTTTGTTTCCGACTGCTGGTTGCGTTTTCGAGAGTTAAATATGCTGTCCCGGTGGTGACTGACGTATCCACATTCGTCACATTGGCTCAGTAAGCCGTGGGTTTAACTATCAGCTTTTCGAAAGTTCATTACTCTAGGATAACCAATGAGAAGGTACGATAAATAAGCATAAAAATTTTAATTTCTTGAGAAAATGGATTTTTCTATGAGTAAAATAAGTTAAAATTTAAATTGGCAAAAAGCCGCCGCTAAGGTTAATAGCATTCAAATGTAAACCGGCTCTTTCCGAAGACCCATAACCCAATCATCTAAACTTCGCCTATCTAAGTTATTAAGACACATTTTATTTGAAAAATCGATTCTTGTTATATCTCTCTTTCCTACGTCTTCAATTAGTACCTTTCTAATTTAAGGTCCGTCCTTCTTTTCCCAAACACTATTTCTATCAGAAAAGTTTGCTACTGTAAATCCCTTTTCATCTTTAAACGTTGTAATATATATTGTCCCACATTAATCATCGCTTCGGCGTTCACAACTATTTCAGCCAAGAGTAGACGAAGCAGTAATCGTGTATTCCACGACCTCATTGGAATGGTCATCCCGTTCAAAAACCTTTTATCAAATAATAACGAGATCAATACCTAGTTGAAATTTGAACGGGATAAACCGAGTTTCACTCTTATCAAAGGCATCGAAAGTGGTGAATCACTGTCGTATCCATGTTTCACAAAAGTCTTTACATTTTTTAATTTTAAATGAATTCGTCTTTTCAATTCGCCCTGATAAACGCGAAGCTCAGTCGATGATCTCCGGCCTCATAGTTGACCTCTTATTACAAGCGAAGCTTCCCAACTCATAGAGATCGAAGGACCGTCGGATCTGGGGGGGCTCATAATTCAAACAGGAGCATAGTGAGTCACAGAGAGAGAGAGAGAGTTTTTCTTCAACCATTATCCAATTCCTCGTCATACGACCCTTTCTGTCATTATTATTTCCGCACTCACGTAGTAGTAGTGGGGGAGAGAGAGAGAGAGAGAGAATGGTTCGAGAAGCAGGGAAGGCTCTGAAGCCTGTGAGAGTGACAGAGAATGGAAGCTGCTTTCTTCCGATTTCTTTTTGCAGTGATGTTAAGTGGCAGCAATAAATCGAGATAAAAAATAAGAGGAATGGAACATCAGAAAAAGAGAGCAGCAGACGGCACGACAGGATCGAGCGGCAGGAAGATAGCGGAGAAGAAAGAAAGGGGATGGCCGAGGAAGTCTCTCTCTGTCTATCTCTTCCCCACGACGGCGCCGTTTCAGTGCTCTATTCCGCATCTTAATTGCATCGGATAGAGTAAGTAAGAGAGAGGAGAGACAGCAGATCCTAGAGAGAAAAGATAGTCAGAGCAGTGGCAAGGCAGAGAGCGAGCGAGAGAGAGAGAGAGTTGAGAGAGAGGCCATATTTATATGTTTTCAGAAAGAGGGCAAGCGAGAGACGGGCAAGAGGGTTTTCGAGGAGAACAGGAGAAGAAGCAGCTGCAGTCCTTGCGGCAGTGGGAAATTGCTGTTGCCGCCGCTGCCCGCTGTTGTTCACTGTATGAGAGAGAAGGAGGAGAAGGAGCCTTGCAGAGCCATGAAAGCGAGGTTACTGGAAATTCCATAACAACGAGCTCGTATAAAAGGAAAGATTATCCAACCCCAGAGGTTGAGGACGGCGGTAGAAGAGAAAGGGGACGGCCAATAGAGGCAAAGAAGAGCAGCAGCTGATACTAGTTAAAAGGGACCAGCAACAGGAAAAGGAAAAGAGGAAAACCAACCTTCTTCCCCTTCTCATTCCTCTCCCTATCATCATCCATATCACCCAATTCTCCCCAGCCCTAATTGCCTTCCTCTTCGTATCGTCCGATGCAGACCCATCTGTCCCATATCAGTGTATGATAAGGAGGAGAGAAGAGAAGAAGAGAGGGGTTGGGTGCGGGGTGGAGTGGGGGAGGGGATTCTCTCGCTTGTTATGGATCTGTTGCTGCAGGAACAGAAGTCTGTGTTAGCCGGGAGAAGAAGGCGATGGCAGGATTCTCATTAGGCGGCGGAAGCGGGAACGATCAGATCCCAACAGACAGCCTCTTCCATTACACCAGCGGAGGAGGGGGGAGCGGCGGCGGCAGGCAAGCCGAAGAGATCACCACCTACACAAAGGGCTTCGAGTTATGGCAGCAGCACCAGCAGCGTCACCACCACCACAACCTCTACGCTGCCGGGCTTGGCATGATGCTGGATGATCCTGCCGGGAGTGGTGGCGGATCTGGGGGCAGCGGTAGCTTCGGGGGCTCCGCTGGGAGAGGGCTGAGAGCGGGGGGACGCAGCGGGGGAATGAGCTGCCAGGACTGCGGGAACCAGGCCAAGAAGGACTGCATGCACTATCGGTGCAGGACGTGCTGCAAAAGTCGCGGCTTCCAGTGCCCCACTCACGTCAAGAGCACCTGGGTTCCCGCCGCCAAGCGCCGAGAACGGCAGCACCAGCTTGCCGCCGCTATGCAGCAACAGCAGCAGCAGTCCCAGCTCCTCGTCCGCGGGAGCGACCACACCAAGAGGCCGAGGGAGGTCTCCACCACCCTCGCCTGCACCCGTCTCCCCCCAACTGTTACCATCACGACCACTACCTCCACAACATCAGGCATGTTACACCCACCATCTCATCTTCTTTTCCTCTCTCCCTTCGTCCGCCCCTTTTATTTTCTACTGTACATGATTTCTTCATTGACAGTGGAAAGATGGAAGCAAAAGTAAAAGAATTTCCGATGCTTGTATGATTCCTCGATATTTATCCTCAAAGGCGTCTGCTTTCATGATTTTGCCTCCTCTGCTGCTCATGAATGTGATTTGATAGGGAGGCTCGAGGCGATGGGGAGCTTCCCGCCGGAGGTCAGCTCGCCGGCGGTGTTCCGGTGCGTCCGCATGAGTGGCGTCGACGATGTGGATGACCAGTACGCATACCAGACAGCCGTCAGCATCGGCGGTCACGTCTTCAAGGGAATACTCTACGACCAAGGACCAGATTCCCAGTTCTCCCACCCAGGGGACGCCTCCTCTTCATCCGCTGTCGCCGTGGCCGCTACAATTGCTACAACAGGCAACCCTACCACGGGCGCCGCTACTGCTGCGGTGGCTGCGGCCGCGGCTGCTTCCTCCATGCTTGACCCGGCCTCTTTGTACCCCACTCCTCTCAGCGCCTTCTTGGCGGGTACGCAATTCTTCCCTCAACCAAGACCCTAGAAGAAGTCGCCATGCCTTCATCGTCATGTTCTACCTCGTCCTGCAGGGACTCGTCACAGTCATTTGAGCATCGCTCTCTTATCTTTAGATGACAATTTTAAGTATGAAACTCATGGCATTTGATTGGAGATTTCCTCTACATTGTTGCATTGATTGAAGCAAAAGAGAATCAAATATTTGCCATGTTTTAACCGTTATCACCTTCTAAGTCCAATAAAATGGCAGCTTTTCTGATAATAATCTCAGACGTTTAATTTGACGTGAATGCCACAAGAGCTCTTGCTGTTGATTCTCTTTGAGGAAAAGAAGACAAAAAGACTACCGTTTGTTCTTATTGCTTTGGACGGTTCTCTCTCTGTCTCTCCCTGCCTACCTCTCTCTCTCTCGTTCGCTCTCTTCTTTGTCAAAGATAGATGAGCCATTGCATGCGCTTAGGATTTCTTTGGAATATGATCGGAATATCGTTGAAAGTAGAACCAATGCCCACGCCTTATTTATAATTTCATTGCCAAGTAGTTCACTCCATATACATGTGTTCTATCAGCCAGCTATATTGGTGTAGGATGATTAGAGTGGGGATGTTGGCCACCGTGTTATGAGCTGAAATGAAATCTTAGGCATAGTGTGAGTTTATTCGCCCGAGATTGATTCAGCTGGGTAGACATCACCGACTAGTCTTTAGATTTATCCTCTCCCTCTTTTCTTGTTACTACAGCTAGCATGATGTAAGAGGTGGTAGTGGTGATTCTCCTAATGGTCGTTCCTTTCTGGTGGTATAAAGGCTCTGTTAAGTTACCTATATTAGTAGGTCTAAATTTCATTGATGTCTCACATATTCCAGCTGTTAAGAGCATCTTAAAGCAGCTCTCTTCGCCATTCTGTCAAGAGATTAAAATTTTCCCTCAGTGCTGCGGTCCATTCCCTGCGTCATCGATCCCAACCCATACATGCCAAACATCTCCTCCATCGCCTGCTATCTTCGTCATATGATGCTTTTGGGGATTATCTCTTTAAATGTTGTTGCACCCAGAATTTTGTTTCTATTTTACTTTTGAGCAGTCCTCTCTCTCTCTCTCTCGTATTCATAACCCTCTCTATACCTGTCTCGGCATCCGTGACCGGGGTCTTTGCCTTGAGCCTTGTGAAGATTGGAGGCCTTTCCCCTTCGGCTGGCATTTAATCATCGTTCCTACCTGCTCCCCCATGTCTTAATTTAATGCCATCGTTCCCCTTTTATGTCTGGATTACTGTTTCTTGCGAGAATCAAAACCATTTTAAGCAGCGGAAACATAACATCCGTCTAGTCATAAATAATCGCTCACATGCTGCACGCTTCTCTGTGTGCATATGTAGATTCTAACCCTACCCATCTATTCTATTTCCGTAGTTATTAGACGCGCTGACCATGGCAAGACGCATGCAGCAGCCCCATGTTGCTGTTGTCAGAAGGGTTCTGACCTGTGGAAGGTCCCCCTGTTTCCCTTCCTAGGATACCAGCTCGAGCCTTTGTCTTGTTTATTTGCTGTTCCCTGTAGAGATTTACCCTTGCACGGCAATATTCCTCGCGAACTGTTTGGGAAATTGAACGGCTCAGAGAGCAGTTCGTAGATCCCCAAGCCATCCTGCTCTCTGTCTTGTTTTTCTCACCGTCACGTGCTGTTGCCCGCTCATTCGATGCCACAGCAGCGGCGACGGTGTGGAAACCCTAATCTCCATTCTAGCACCTGCTCTTCTGAGATCTAATTTATGAGACGAAGAGAAGGTTTCCAGCGTGAGTCATGAATGTCGTGATTTATCGTTAACCCCACAAGCAAAGACCGACAGGACTTATCGTTGTATGGACGTAGAGAACTCCCATTACTTAAGGATATTCATCTGATACTACTACAGAGATGAGACAGGTAGATGTGCGAACCCTGTCCCTGAGGTTTAAGCCATCATCTTTCCTAGGGTGCTAAAACACTTGTGACTTAACTTTTTGAGAAATTTAAACATGGAAGTCCTTTATTTCTAAAATGTCTGAACCATAACAGTACACGATACGTGTAACTCTTATTGTTTTCCTGAAATCGTATTTCACGTACGTATCATGGATCAACATATCGTTTGGTAGGTGGTAACACATGTTGGCTTGTATGGCGAGTAAGACGAGAAAGCATCATCAAATTTCGCAGAACAACTCTTATATAAAGTTTTTGTCCTGTCGTCAATGGCCCGGGGTAACCTGTAGGTAAGCCTCAAAAAATATATCGTAGACTTAAGGCCTCGTAATATGGATTCCTTAGCAATTTTTTCTTCGTGCACGTCTGGATAAGGTTCTGGCTTCGATGCTTCAGATTCAGAACCATGCCTCTCTCTCTCTCTCTCTCTCTCTCTCTCTCTCTCTCTCTCTCTCTCTCTCTCTCTCTACGTCTCTCTCGCTACGCAGTACACGCGCATGAGGGATTCCAGTCTGAAAGCTCGAAGCCTATCATTTGAGAATTTTTCAAGGACTTCTTCTTAGCATACGCTCAATCAGAGTGTGATTTGAAGCTGATTTTCTTGACTGGATTGATCCTCTATAGTAGTTCGTCAAGGCTCGCCCACTGGATTCCTTGCTATCCGACCTATTAGTACCGTTTTACTTTTGGTTTTTCTGCTTACATGTGATGGAGAGCATCAGAACAAGGTTTTTTTTTAATCAATGAGATAGTTCTTGCATGGCTTGGTGCACAAATCTTCACGGAACCATTAATACGGTGGTGCTGGGCTGGGCAGAATAGATACCAGCCCATTTTCTGGTCCTGAATATAGGACTGGGGCCCAGAACTAAACTTCATATTCTAGGAATATTTATATTTCAATAAAGAAGGTGTTCTCGGAGCCCGCTGCCATGCGCCTGTTCCACGGCCATCCAATGAAAGAAGCCACCTTTATGTAGATCTTATTTTCGTTCTGACTGGGAAACTAGTTAGTGAAAACATGACTCAACATTCATCCATCCTAAAGAATGTGCCAAAGGGCATATCTTCATACCGAGGTATTAAAACCTAAGACAAATATAAATAACTTAAGATAATATAATAAAGGAAGAAAACGAGGAGCGCTAACACAGTTAGACGTGACTTAAGGCATCAAATGTAGATGAGATCTCTGAAACCAGCTTCCAAAGACTTTAGAACCTTTAATATCCGAATTGAATGACTATACACATTTTGTAACATAATAAAATCTATTAACATCCAACACTAGAAGCTTCGCCAAGTTGAAACACTCAAATCACCATGAAGTAGAAAGAGGGAAAGGCATAAGTTTGTCGTTTAGAAAATCCATGATGTATTATTTGTACATTAAGAGTGGCTAGAAAAGATTTGAGTTGATGCGATAAGAGATTTAGGATTTCTATGGAAATCAAGTTGAATTAGTTTGTAGCTAGTGATATTTGTCATGCCAAACACGCTTGCAAAAGTATAGAAACTAATCACGTTGGTCTAACAAATCATGTAAAATAAGATGGTTCTACAGCATCTGCATATAAAGAAATATTTTTTTGGTAGAAAAAAATGCAACGACTCAATATGTTATTTTAATTAAATCATTTGTTTTTGGCATGATAGGATAAGTCTAACTCGCAGTTCTATGAGAATGTAAGTTCTAGTGAATTCTCAAGTAGAGTAGAAAAGAGTAGTTCTTTTTTATGGATCACATTAACCATTCTAAAAACACTTGTTAGGTTCTCAACAGCAAACCTAAATGAAGAACCAATTAAATTAAAATAATTATTTAAGTCATTTTTAAATAAGACAAGTTAAAAATCTTGTAATAAAATATTTGTTTACCCTTCATGACCTTATTGCCTCGCCCCACACCACAGGCTACCAGAAGACAAATTTTTTTAGTGAAAGTATCCTTAGACTATTTTTTTAAAGAGAAAAATAGCATACTTGTTTAATAGATTATCAGTTTTTTAGTCAAACCTCAATGCATTTGTATAAGATGCAGTTTCATAACAACCTTAGGATACTTGGAAATATTTAGCAAAGGTTTAGGAAGAAATTAGGTCAAGTCATAGAGCTTTGTTCTCTTCTTGTCAACTTGTATTAACAGAAATTAGAATAGGTTGCTTTGTTTCATATTTCTCTTGGAGGAACTCCGCGCTACTTTTATGATAAAAGAAGCTTACATCATAGATAATTACAATATAACATAGAACCACGGATGCGTTCTACACAGAAATTTTTTATCGCATTTAAAATTTAGTTTATTTCACCTACAAACTTCTAACTTTTTGTAAAGAACTACAACAGGGGGACATATACCAATCATATCCCAACATTTTCCCAGCTTTCATTATATTACGCAAACAACGGTTATTAATGATCTATCTTACCCAAAAAAACCCATTAACACAAGACATATTAGGTTAATTATGCCAGCCAAATAGAGAAAGGTGTCTGTGCAGAGTTGAACTCAATTCCTTTCCCCACTCAGTTTGGTATATGTATGAAAACAGCTCCTGGCCTAGCAGGTTGAGCTGTATTATCGGGCCCAAGAGTACAATGGATGCAGAAGTCTAGGGTATTGAAGAAGATCATGCTGGTTAAAGGTGGGAGAAGAGAGTTGAGGTTAACCTTGTAAGATCCTTCTCGTAAATTTCTCCCCACTTCCTCCCATTCCCCCAGGCTGCTAGAAATTCTTAGCGCTATTTGTCGTTTGGACGAGAGAGAGTCTAGTCTATATGTACTTCCCCTCAGTAATGTTTCTCTTCTAGATGGCAGTATGAACGCGTGTTGGATCTATATCCCTATATCTCTCTTTAATTAATCTTGTGGTAGGGCAGAAATCCCTTCCCTAATTATCTATCTAGAACTCTTTTCCATCGAGCAGTTCTTTCTTTTTTTAGTGTCTCAGTGATCTATATAGCTGAACCAAGTTCAGAACTATTGTTAAAACCTTTTGTAAGTGAAAAAACACTCCCAAAATCTCACCCCTTCGTTGATGTTGTGCTCCCCTTTAAACTGGAGGATTTACTCTGATACCCATGACCTACTCTCGCATTAAGTCTCTTCCTGGACTCAATAAAACTACTCAATCCGCCAAGGCCGTGTGCTGTCTTTCAGGCGCGTTACTCAGTGCAATGCCTTATGCCTATAACTTTTAGTCCCTACGATGCGACGAGAGTGCAAGATTCTCGGGCATAACGGAAATACATATCACAAACGACAACGAAGAGCGCCCCTCCAATCTTGGCGTGAAACAAAAGACTGAGAGCATGGTATTGCCTCAAATTTCTTAGAAATAGGAGATTTTCGCATGGGTGAGCTATAATTTGTAAGGTATTTGAAGTTATCAAGAAACGCAATGGCCCAGTCAAATTCTGCGGTAGGGTTCCTCCATCTCTGAGAGCGATATCAGACTATGCTACCAGCCATTAGCTACTGATTGCCTCGAAGAGAAGATGCGCACTTATCAAGTCGCGGAGAGATATCACTCACCCAACGTGACTTTCTAGAACTATCATCAGCTTAGTAACCTTCGGTCAGCAAAACCTAGTGACTCGAAAGATCAACATCTCCTGAATTAATCACAACCCAGGCCCTACAATTTAATTTCGAGACCCAAATCCATGGACTACAATTTAAGAAAATCTTGATGCTACAAGTAGGACGGAAATATTCAGCAACTTAATCAATAAATCTAGCACTAATTCGCTCATTTAAAATAACTTCTGAAAAATACAAGTGAATTTATCTTACAGACTATAAAGTTCATTTTTTGTGATATAAATCGAAGGGATTGCGATGTAGACATCCACAACGTCTCCACATTTCACATAGTTTGAATGATTGAATCGATCTAAATCCTTATGCTTCTACATGATTTCAATCGATCATTTTAAAATTGAGAAAATCAAATATTTGCTTGTTTTATTTGGTTCGTTCAGCTTATAACTGTTAACGAGTCTTAATTGTAACAAATGATTTAGATAGCAACGTCACGGCCTGTTCCATGGTTTCAACTACGATATTTTTCAGGTGAATAACTTTTGAGTAGATTATCACCAAATCACTTCTTTAAAAGTATTTTACCAAAACTCATTTCGATTAGTTTGTAGAAAATACATCATTTAAACATGGTTTTCAAGTCATTCTTCTCAATCTTTGGAACCATAACATATCAAATCAACAGACCGTACATAGTTTGTGCAACATGAATACAGTTATAATAATGTTTCTTATAATTTATAAGGTAGTTTACATAAATTATCATATTGTAAGAGTGAATACCTTTAATGTCAACGGAGGAATCAGGTATTTAAGTTATCTTGAATTTTTCTAAGATAACAGTAAGAAATAAACATGAACAAATAGAAAATATTCTGTTTATTCAAAATAAACATGGAAAAATAACAGGAATCAGGAGATTTGGGGAAGATATTCTGTTTATTCAAAAATCAGCATCTAGAACAAAAAACTAATATAGGATATAGTACCGAGAGGCGACGCCGCAAACGTGCACAGCAAAACATGCGGACGTGGAGATCATATTTATTAATTCACACCGCCTGGGGAGCGCTCGGCTTCATCTCCCTCACGTCAGTCCGCCACTGCCAGGATCTCATCATTAGGATCCGCCGTCAAAACCCTCGCCTCTCCGTCCTCTCCTCCACCGCCGTAGCGGTAGGAGAAGACGGCCCCCACAACCCGAGACCCCTTCCTGTACTGTTGTAAACTATTTTTCCACTCCACACTACTGCCGGCCATCGCCGCCTCGCGGAATTCCTCTCCATGGCTCCCCTGAACCCTCATGCCCCTCGCTATGTCCCGGCAGTGGAGTCACCATTTGCACCTGCGGTGGCTCCCTTAATGTTCCCCGTCTCCTATGCCTTCGGCTTCCCTTACTCGTACTCTCTCCCGCAGCCTTTCCCGGAGGTTTTTCCGCTTCCTCCGTGCTGCTATTACCATGGCCTATCTCCGCAACCTCAACAGTCGCGGCTGACGCACCTCAGTTCCATTTGTTACTATCCCGGGAAGGATGCCCGCCTCGCCCACGGTTGTCCGGGGATAGGTATCGAATTGTCGGGTGTCCCCTTCTCATGGCCATCTTCTTGGATCGTCCCAACAGCTATGCCCGTCCTTCCTTCCCATCAGGTTGCGCTTCCTCTACTTCATTCCCCGATAGCTCCTGCAGACGAAGGTGTGCTACGGCCTCCCATCTACTCTCCCCAACCAGAGGTCATTCTGGAGGTGATACCGAAGATCAGGCATGGCTCCGATAAACGTTTGCCGCCGCCGCGAGCTATTTGTCTTCGGAAGCGACGGGTTAGAATTGGTCCGCGATGGCGGACTAAGATGGACAGCTCGGGCGGAAGAGTTCGCCGAGGACCTAAGCGAAGCTTCAGCTGTAGGGTTGGGTCCTTCTGGCTGCCAAAGTTACGGTGTCTCCGAAAGAAGTGTCCAGACGAGGATAAGTCGCAGGAGAATTTGCAGTTTAGGAATGGAGCAGATGCTGATGATGGCGGGGACTCGCGGACAACCGTTATGATCAAGAATCTCCCCAACAAGATGAGGTAGGTTCCTTCGTTCGAAGGGAGTGGGAAGCGAAGCGATTACTGACGGTTGGCTCTCTCATCTTACTTCAGGAAGGAAGCATTGCTGACCCTCCTCGATTCCCACTGCCAAAAAGAAAATGGCAAAGTGGTGCACCATGACGCTGTTATGAACACCCGTTCTCAATTTGACTTTTTCTATCTTCCCATGGACTTTGGGTAAGTAATCCTTGCTTCCTTGTGCAGGTTTATGTTCAAATCTCTAGGCTATCTCATTCCTTTGATCTGCTGTTCCACGCGCAGGACGGGAAGTAATCTAGGCTACGCTTTCGTAAACTTTACCAGCGCTGCCGGGGCATGGAGGTTCCACCGTGCATTCCACCAGATGAAATGGAGTATCATGGGGTCTAGAAAGGTTTGCGAAGTCACCTACGCTAGGATCCAGGTAATAACTTGATCTCTGTGCTTGAGCTTTTCATTGGCCCTTGGGTCTTGGGCTTGATGCGCTCACTGTTCTAGGGCCTGACGGCGTTGATGAAGCACTTCAGGGGCTCCGTCTTTGTGTGCGACAACGACGAGCTGCTTCCGCTCTACTTCGTTCCCCACCGAGACGGCGTAATGCAGTGCGAAGGCCATCACGTGGGCCGGCGAGTCCCGCCGTCTCGCTTTGGAGGACCTTAGGAGCGTTCGCCATCGTTCCTTTTCAACAGTGTAAATCCATGCGTAATCGTTCTGTTATAGCTGTGTTTAACCGACGGAAAGGTGAAGCAGTCCCACAGTTTTACTGACTCGATGGAAAGGTGAAGCAGTCCCACAGTTTTACTGACTCGGCTCTCACTGAGCTGCCTTGGTCGCCACGTAAAACTCGATCATCTCCTCTGTCATATGCCGGATGAGATGAACGCATGTGGGTCGTTGTATCGATAGCTCAACCGGCTCGTTTCTCTCCGAATTAGAAATAAACTTGTCACGCTCTTTCACTCACCCAGACTCTGTCTATCTTTTTCTATCAATAAGGAAGGCTGCCATCATGTCACGGTCGACCGGGATATGTACGTGCATGGGACGTTGCCTTAAATGGGAAGCGGACGTCAGAGAAGACAGGTGAAGGAAGTCCTATCTTAGGGTTGCAGCCGCCGCGGACGAAGAGATGATGGCCTGCTTGCCTGATGACGCCATTCCGGCAAAGATTTCCTCCTGCAGGAATGGATGTCCCACCGTACTATCAGGGAAAGAGAGAGACGCTCAGGAATGAAGGAAATATGGAGAAAATGCGTGGAACTAAGTCCTCGGATTCTGTCCGCAACTTTTTCTGATTATTCTCAGTGTTCAATTGGGAGAAAGTCCGATGTCCCCTCCGAAAGATCGTAGGTTCCCAAGGAGATGGGATTTGTATTACTTGTCCTAAATTATTATGGAAATATGCGTAATTATGCACTACAATTTTAAAAATGAGATTCCTGAAAATTATTTGATTTTAATTCAGACATTCTTTCGGCCCCTATTAAACTGTTTTTTTAATCAAGAACTGAAAATGAAGTATTATTTTCTTAGATCCCCGACTCAATTTGTATGTCTTCAATATTACATATTCTTAAGATTTATAATCGCTCTTTTACTTTACACAGCTTTAATTGAAATTACTATAAAAAATAAATAAATGGGTTAAATAAATGGCTGGATAAAGACTGAAACATTTATTCGTGTAGGCAGTCGTCTTCGGATTCCCAGGACTGCGAAGATTAAATCTGACGAATTTGAATAAAAGAAGGATTCCCAGGACTGGATCAATTATCTTAACTTTTAAGGCGACCTAATCGTAGCGGGAGTAATGACCGGATGGAGCTGGTGCAATACCAAGTGGTAAGCAGACTCCTAGACCGAGTTAGGTAGTTTGACGCCGGAACTGTCATTACGACGTTAATGTGACTGTCCGTTGGCCCTAGTGAATCAGGGCTGACCGCAACTCAAGAGCAAGAGCAATTCGAGCAAACTTCGACGGAGGAGCCGTGAGGATGTCCTGAGACTGGAAAACATCTAGCGAAGCTAGCATCGTGCCCCGGAGAGGTGCAGGAATACTTCATCCACGAAAAGGCTTTCCAAACAACTCTATATTATGCGAGATTAGTACAAAGATTTGGCCTCAGAAAATGGTTTGGCTGTTTTCTCTCTCTTTCTCTCTCGCTTGCTCGCTCGCTCGCTCGTTCGATCCGATGGTAGCTGACTTGAACCTGAGTTTCTTGGAGTTTAGGCCTACGACATGAATATCCACGCAGTTTATTGAAGCTAAACACAAATCACGTTTTTTACCGTCAGCAAGCTTGTCTCATATATTTCTCTTGTTGGCAAACACCTCAGATTCTTTTTGTTTTTAATCATCAAAACCGCAAATCGAAGTCCATGCATAATTGTTGAAGAATTCGATAATTTTAAAGTAAAAAGGTTATAATCTGTGGTGGGGGATCTTCCATTGACTGTTCATATTCTGTGTTCGAGATTGTTTTGATTTTTTAACACCGGCTATATAATCTTCTCCGATGATTCATGTGGAAGCGCCAAGAGAAATGAGTATTTCCAAAAGTCAAGTGTCTGGAAATTCTTTTAAAATATAAATTTAAGCAAACACTTTCAAACTCGGACGGGTTTTATCCAAGGAATTAGGACATTACCTTTTTTTAGATTTATTTTTAAAAAATATTTTGAATTTTTTTAATAAAGTGAGATATTTATCACGAAAAGTATTTTTTAACTGCTGAGATAGAAATGACAGAATGAGAATAAACATTTTAGATTTGCAAAAAAGAATCGGATTCATTCCTGAAAAGTTTTTCAAATTGAACTTTGATTTTTACCTAACTAAAAAGTAAAAATGTGGGAAGGACGTCGAGGTTTGAATTACGAGGGCAAAAGTGAACCTTTGTACAAGTCAAAGATCATCAGCGAAAAGGTAGAATGGCGGGCTAGGCTACTTATACGGGGAGAAGGACCGAAGAGGCAGACTCCTCTCTCGGGGAGGCCCGGCCAGCAGACGCGGTCGACGTGCATTGTCTTCTCGCCAGGCAAGTCTATCAGTGGTTTGCGTTGGGCTCAGCATACAAAGACACCTGCTCCGGTGTTCCAACGTCTCGAGCCCCACGCCCTCTCCTCCCTCGTCCCATGGCTCACACCTGGAGGACAAGCCGACCTATATCTTCTCGTGCTGTCGCCCCTCCACCACAAGTTCTCTCGGACGCGCGTTCTTACGCCATAACTGAAGTGGTGACGGTCGGTCAAGAGCGCTCCTCGCGTCTCTCTCAATCTGGAGCGGGGAGACAATGCGACAGAAAATTTAACAGGAGAGAACTCTCGAAGAAGCCTGCATTGAGTTAAGATGGAGACGTACGTGTCACACTCTTCGCCAAATCTTTCACGCTAGTCACTAATAGCAAGCCCATCTAACAAAACTATGGTTTAGCAGATATATATCTATCTGATAAGCCATGGGATTGGCCAGCGTGGTAGACCGAGATCCCAATGTGACGACCTGCCTTGGATCCCAGGGAGTTATGCGACGGCGAATTTTCCTGATATTTCGTCAACTAACGAAGTCAATCTAAGTAACGCTGACATCATGTAAAGTAGATCTCTAGTGTCCTAGTATCGCAAAAGGAAGGGAGTCATAAATATTCAGGTCCTACTGGGTTGGCTTGGCGCTCAGTATGTGGGTAGCGAAGGTGTGAGTGATCAGGCCCTTTAATACGTAGTTTATTTAGACTAGCGAACAGATCAAGCTCACATTCATTAATTAAAAGAACCTATTTATGCCACAATGATCAAACTAGAGGATGTTTTAACCAGGAGTTCTTTGAGATTCGGAAGACTAATTTGAACTTGTTTACGGGGTCCACTTCGACAATCTGAATGTATATAATAGCGAGAGAGAGGGATTTCGCGTTTGTATGGTGACTTGGACAAGTTTAATGCGTTCCGGACATTTGTCTGTTGCACCGATGTGTACGGGGTTCCGATGGAGACCAAAAATGACGAGTTGGCGTGTAGTGGGAGGATGAGGAGGGAGAAAAGGAGGTGAAGAACCAGTGATGGGGAAACGGGAAAGGCGGTGGAGAGATCTGCCAAGAGGATGGGGCCTGCGGTTGGGTTCCTCGGCGGAGCTGTAGAGTGTCCAGAGGAGAAAATCTCGCCGCCGTCGCCGCCGCCGTAGTAGACTCTCATCGATGGGTGTGAGAATGATTACTCCTCCTTAGATCAGCTTGAGGGGAACGACGAGACATCGGAACTCGACGTTGATAGGGGACAGGGGAAGAGGAGAAATCATGACGACGCAGACGGCTCTTTTCCTTTCGTCCCTTGAGGCGAAGTAGGTAACTTCATGGAGATCTATCGATCCTCCCAAACGATCTGGTTGTTGCGAAATCGACGAGAAATATTCTTCTTACTTCATCTCATCTAATTTACGGCAAGTGCTGGTTCATATCCAAAATACTTCCTCCGGTACAACCTTCTCTTCCTGTTCCATAAGAGCGACCGACAGCGACGCACACGCACGCACACACGGATTCATTGCCATTTCCCGGTCTCATGAAACATAATGACGACTTCAATGTCCCCTATGAGAATATATTGTCGAACAAGCCAAAATATAAATTATTCCACTTTGAATCGGCGGGCTTTCCCGAGCCTAGTTTGAATGAAGATCTAAAACGAACTGGAGATTGGAGAAAAGCCCATAAAACAGATTTTTTACATTGAACCCTAATCAAGGCCAGAAAAATGATTCTACGTTCTACCATCTTCGACCTCGGGCCCGCGGCTGACCTCATCCGGATCTAACTTTCCCGTCTATATTTGATTTCAGAACTGAAGAGCGCAAAAAATGGGACCAGACTTTCCTGGCCCATTTACAACCATTAATGAGAGAGATCAACACAAATTCACGGACAGCTCTACCAAACAATCTTTTGATTAAACTCTAAATTTGGTTTATGAGAAAAAAAACTAGAATATCTAGAATTTTAATTATTAATATTAATAAAATCCGAGGTTAATCTTGGAATTATTGGTTAGTTATTTGGGTTTACTAACTGGTACTCATTCATCGGTAGATGCTAGTTTTGATGTTAACAAAGCAGGATTATTTGATGTATTATTCCGAGAAGCGAATAAATGGTTTTTCTGCTGGATGAAGAAACCAGGATTCTGCTGGTTTCTCTGTTAACAAACCGGATATGTCATAAAGTCTTAATGCTGGGTCAGTTTTGTTCCCATTTTACTGCCTTATTATCACCCATATGGTTTCTCCTCTCTCTCTCTCTCTCTCTCTCTCTCTCTTGCCCTTCTCTCTTGCTCTCTCTAGATGCCAACCAGTGCCACGGCATGGCGTCATGAATGTCAAACCCAGCAGTCAAGGCTTTTTCTCTTCTCTGGGTCTGAACGGTGGAACAGGGCTTCCTGCAGCGACGAGTCCCACCCGGATCAGCCCACTCCAATCCGATTCGAACCTATCTTGGGCCCACAAGTGTAATGAATGCTAATATGGGTGATAACGTGGTTTCCGTTGCCCCAATCCGTCTCTACTATAGAGAGATAAGGAGAGCGAGAGAGAGAGAGAGAGAGAGAGAGAGAGAGGACCAACCATGCGGGTGAGTGACTAAAGGACTCTGTAACAATGCAACTGTAAAGAGTTTCAAGCTGGGAACCTAATGGCGCGAGCTAGCAGTGCAACGAGTGAGGCAGGCTGCGCTGCCACCCAGGTGCCGGCAAGCTGATGAAGGGAACCTCTGCAAGTCTATTCCCGTTTCTGTCCGCTGCTGCCGCCAGTTTTGCCGGGATCCAGAGTAAACATCGACGAACCACGAGGGAAAAGACGCCGACAAGATTGGCATTCATTACACTCGTGGGCGGAGACAGAGAGAGGAGGGAGAAAGAGACGGCGTTTCTCTCAGGCTCGCTGTACCCCCGGGATTCCCTCTCTCGTGCTGCTCCGTCCATGAAAATGAGAAGGATGGAGAGAGAGAGAGAGAGGAAGGAGCTACGGAATGACGGGGTTGAAGTCGCGGCAGGTTGCGGTCTGCTTCTGGTCGCGTCCATGGCAGAAGAAGAAGGAACGGGGGCACTGGAACAGACAGTTATCGACGAGGCTCACCGCGGCCTCCCCCTCCTTCACCGCCATCAGAGGAGCGGGGATGGGCCCGTAGAGGTAGTTGCCGCCGAGAAGGAGCCTTGACAGTGGGGTCTCCGCCGGCGACCCTCTGTCGCCGCCCCCCCGCGCCCCTGGCACCCTGGCGGCGTACTCCGCTGGGATCATTCCCGTCAGCAGGTTGTCCTCCATCGTTAGCGACGCCAGCCTCGGCATCGCCCGCACCCACCCCAGCGGCAGCGGGCCTCTCAGCCGGTTGTGGCCCAGGTCGACAGCCACCAGCCCACTGGTCGACGCCGCCGCTGGCTGCCACCACTGCGGCGACGATTCCAGCGAGGTGAACCGATTGAAGGCAAGGTTCAGCTGCTGGAGGGCCGGATGGACGAAGAGCGCCGCCGGGACGCGCCCGGAGAGGCGGTTGTGGGAGAGGTCCAGCACCTGTAGGTTCGGGATCCCCGCCGTGAAGTCCGGCGGGAGGGGGCCCTGAAGAGAGTTGTTTCGAGCAGAGAGCTTCAACAGGGACGGCGGAAGTGCCGCCGCAGGCAGTACCCTGCCAGAGATGGCGTTGTCGCTGGCGTCGAGGTAGGTGAGGCTTGACAAGGGACTGAAGTCGGGGAACCACCCTGAGATGTCGTTCATCTGGAGCTCTAGGCGCTGCAGAGACCGGAGAGAGGCGATGGCAGCGGGAATTGGTCCCGACAGGGCGTTCCCGTCGAGGTAGAGCTCCTCCAGAGAAGGGAGATCGCCGACGGGGATTTCTCCGGAGAATGCATTTCGAGAAAGGGCTATCCTGCGGAGCTGACGGAGGTCTAAAGATAACGGTGGCGGCGGGACGGAGCCGGATAATTGGTTATCGGCGGCGTCGAGAGTCTGCAGATAAGGAAGGGTCCAGACTGCCGGCGAGAGGTTGCCGGCGTAGCCAGCTGCCTCGAGGGAGATATCCGTGACGCGTGCCAGGCCGGCGGGGTCACCGGCGTCGCAGCGGAATCCGCAGGTGAATTGCTCACCTGAGGAGAGCGCATCGCAGGGGTCCGCAGCAGTGAAGTCCCAGGAGCTGAGGCAGGACCCCGGTGCGATGGAAGCCGGATCCAGCGCCGCCTTCAGGAGCCGCAGCGCGTCGGCGTCCGCCGGGTGGGTCTTCGCGGCGGCGTCCCCCAGGAACAGGACGACGGCCACCGCCGTCAGCAGCCAGGTCATCGCTTCCGCCGGTGGAACTCCAAGAGACCTACGGCAGAGAGAGAGAGAGAGAGATCTAAGAAAGATCAAGACCTCCCCGCCGTCCCCGACCCTCGGCATCACGTGGGCTTCGGCTTCTGCTCTACCCACCTCCTCCCTCATCCTTTGATCAACTTTTGCCCAGAGATTCCATAGCTATCCATCCCGTCCTGAACCAATGCTTTCCAGGGTCCTCCTCTCAGAGGGCGAGGAGAACTTTTTAGGGCTCTGATGGAGGTTTAGGGTCTGTCAGGAGAGCAGGTACCAGCTGTCGAGATGAGAGATGGAGGTTGCAGGAGAGGGAGGATTCCGACAAGAAGAAGAAGCGTCGCGGAGTCGGAGAGACCGTCTCGTGACTCGTTCAGTGACTCAACGAAGGAAATTTCCATTCAGTGGGGCCCACGAGTGTTGGGTTCCTGAGGCAGCCTTGGGAAAGCGTGCGTGGGTTTTGGACCGCTGTGGCGGATTTTTCTATGCCCTCTATTCGTCTGGCAGCGTTGTTAATCCGACGGCAATCGGCTACCAACCTGCATTTGACCGTTCTACCTCTGTTGACTGTCCCACACCGCGTGCGTACGCGGGGTTACTGCGTGCTTTAGGTGGACCCTGAAGTTGCCATGACATTAAATCTAAGTCAATGCACACAATTAGGAGAATAATCTCACCTCTACAAAGCAGTCAGCAAGTGGTGGGTCATGAAGGAATTAGATGAAACGTCAACGTGTAGACTCGCGGTGGGCCACTCCAACCCACTTCCGACTCCCAGTCAGGGTCTGCTTCGTAATTAACTAAACATGAAATCCAAATGGGTATTGATTTCAAGAGCTACACGTGTTAGTACCCTATATTCTATTTTGATTTATTCGTCATACTTTGACCCCTAATGACGTGGAATTTTGTCAAATCTAGTGGCCTTGCCATGCAGCCTGGGGTCAAACTGGGCCATTTGACATGGGTGAGAAGATAGGCCCAAATGAGGAAGAATACCAGCCCATTATATTAATACAGAGTGCGTTGTGGAAGAATACCTCTCTCTCTCTCTAAGACCCAAGAACAAGGAACTAAGCACAGATAATCCGAGACATATAAATGAGATCACCTGAGACACTCTTGACGGTCAGCTTTATGCTTGATGTTCCTCTGACGCATATGTAATCCTCAACCGCTCCTTGAGGTAGTCACTGCTTCGGACAGGAGGGAACCTTCCATTGGTTGGAAAAGAATAATTTATTGCTTGAGCTTAGGAAATTAATAGTAATAATCAACCGTGAAATTATAAGTCAACTTCATTTTTAGGATAATTAAGTTTTTACCTTGGAGGGCATGCCTCACTGCGACAGCTGTCCAGGCACTCCACCAGGCAATCAGAGTTCGGTTCCAGGAAGAAGGCAATCTGTAAGCGGGTTTCATGGCAAAGATGATGACATCTGGTCAACGCACCCCCGATATGTATAGAAGTCAATGAAACAGGTGGACATTTACAGAATAGCGTTCTAGCCCGGTTGCCAGGACCCTGTGCAATGTTGACCTGCAAGGAGAGCAGAATCATTCAGAAATTTTAAATAATAAATAGAAAAAAAATGAAACATTACCGGAATAAGCAATTTGTCCATCTCTCCAGCAAATCCCCCACATTGACGACGAGGGCCCTGCTAAAGATCGTCTCCAAAATGAGTAGAAGATGACTTGGTAATTTACGAAGAAATCCCTTTCTCCAGACTGAAATCTCGCAAATCAGATGGTGATATTACGTGTTTACCCATCAAGGTGAGGTACATCCTCCCATACACGCGGGTATTCATCCTTCTCCCTACATATCTGCAATCATTTGCAGAAGAAAACATAACATATTGGAGAAGAAATAGATCAGCACCCAGCATCTCTCTGTTATCTACCTGAAGACCGGGAACACCATCGCATGCCAGTAGTGTGACTATGCCGTAATCTGTATGTGCAGAAGCCCCAAATTCTCCATCAATGGAGCCAGAAGCACTGTCTGAAAGTCAACCAGATTCATGAGTTATTACATGTGGATGTCGTCATTTACGAAAGTCAATGCAGCAGTTTAAGGGCCTGGGCTGGGTGTCTGAGTTGCACCTAAATGTCAATGCTCTTTGAAGACATTAAGTTGTATATATAATCTGAAGTGTGTCAACGGCGGCTACGGCTATAAGGTCAACGGTGAGCTTACCTCTCACAACAGGCATCATCCATTAGCAGAAGTCCGGCAGAATGCATTTTCTGACGACTCATAAATTTTTTTTGGGCATAAATCAGACCGAAAGATTCACAGATATGATTGATATGTGAAGGTGGATAAGGCTTCAATAAACATGTATAATGACAGTGAATAACCAATTATTGATCTACTTTGAAGTGAATAGCATATGAAGGAAATATCTGGCGAAGAGAACTACAATGTCAACGTGGATTCATTTGTGACACTTGTAATGGTGCTTCATATGTTAAAGGGCACTCATACCTGGGTAATGCAACAGACGCAGAAAAGCCATGGGTTTATGCAGAGCACCAATTTTCTCGAAAAAACATTCTTCCAAATCTAATGCCAAAGCAATCAATGACGTCAGAATTTTGCCCACGGACCTGAGAAGGGATCATAAAATCTCAAACTAGGGTGGGATCAAATATAATAACATAAATTCTACAACAAGATACTTTTCTTTCTTAATAAATCCAGCATAAAAGAAATAACATAAAGGGGGTTTCTAGATAAAAGGGGTTTTTCGTCTGGATTACATATGCCCATATAAATTTTCATAGACGTCATACTAAGGGAACCGCATCACACTAGTTTATCATCAGAACCATATTCAATTTGAACATCTCAATGCAATAACTGACGGATCTCGACACTCGTCACAATATTTTTCTTCCTACATTCATGCACAGATTGAGACATGAACCAGTTTCTCTACATGTTAAGACGAATATAGAATAAATATTAGACATACAAACATCATGAGGACATTAAGAAAAACGTCAATATTTTGAGTATCCATGAGAAAATTCAAGAAAAACTTTGCTCATAAGATGGCAGCTTGTAAATAAGTGACGAATTCGAATGAAAGGGAAACTCGTCCTTGGCGACTTAATTCCTGTACATCATGGCGCTATCATTCATGATAAATTCTGTTACGAAAAAAGATGAAGCATTAACGTCAATGGAAGGAATGCCTACACTTACAGAGCTTTCTCATAGTATAACACCATTGTTTCTCTCCAGTATGGTAAGATTTCTGCAATTTTCTAGCAAGAGAGTATAACGGATTTTATCAAAAAAGAGGAAGTAAAAAGTTTCAACCATTAATATAAGCACTGAAATCATGAGAAAATGTCAGACCTAATTGACAGGACAAAACATGTTTATCGGGACCATATCCAAGTTAAAACGTAGATAGGAATCCTTGAGACACAAAAGGTCAAAACAGTTGAAAAGGCTTTCAATGTGAAGATGTGATCCATTATTATCATAGAGTACTAAACACCGTGGTTACCTTCTGAAGGCCATTGATTTGAAAGCCATTGTAACTCGTTGCCTTCCATGGGACCGATATAGAAACTTTCCTTCAGATCACCTATTTTTTCAAGCAATTCAGTTTGTGAACAGAACAAAGAAATTAAACTCAGCTCCTGAAACGAGGTCTAATCATCAGAAAAATGTGTATCAAGGATGTAACATGGAACATGAATGTGATCTCTTCGCCAAAAAAGATTTCTCATTGACTGATCTCTACCATGACTTGTACTGGGACAGTATGGCCGACTGCTCCGAATAGTATCAAGAAAATGATACATTTGTTCAGAAACAATAGAATTGAAGTACTAAATACATGAAATATCCTTGAAAGCACCTTAAAAAATGGAATAGGGTCGTACCAGGGAAAATAAAAAACATTATTTTATGCCCACGAACTTCCAGCATTGAGGCCTCTACCGTCAGGGAAAAGTGAAACTCACGGGGCAGGTCTTAGAGATGGCAATTATCTAGCTCCTTTTCAGAAGATATGATCCTTCATTAGTGCAAGGGTGAACGCCTCATTATGTTTTCATGAATGAGAGACTAGTGAAGCAACACACAGAAACACCATCCACCTTCTCTACACCACTGCAGTCATTTATCCTATAGGGAAGGAATTCCTCTTTGTAGAGAGAAGGGAAGGGAGTTAGGTGGAAAGATACATCCTAGAGATAAGACAAAGGACCTGAATTACGCAGAGATGGAAAGAGGAAAAAAAATAAAAATGAGAAGAAACTCTTCACGCCTGTAGACAATGCGGAAAATACATATATTTTCTGCCATGCCACCAGCTACTTCATTCCCAGGTCTGCCGTCTCAGATAATTGATGTAAGAGGCCAAAAGATCTTGGATTGATTACTCTTGTTAAGGACCTATGAGGATTGCGAAGACTCCAAATCTCGTGGCTAAACTGCCAAGAGATTGGTATAAGTCCATTCGGACTGATGTAAGTCAACTTGATCCCTTCTAACTTGATGTAAAGTTCACCTAAAATGCAGTTACATAATAGTGCGAAGAAATTTAAAGGAGATATAGGAGAGAAAAAGGAAGGAAGAGAAGAAGAATTTATTTTTTTCAGAGGGAAAAAATGACCAAGTAACGTAAGAGGAAGAAGAAGTTGAAAACAGAGATAGAGAGGAAAAATGACGAAGAAAAAGATAATAAGAGAAAGAGGATAAGTCCATTGATAGTTCTATAATTGCCTGCTGCATGCCATTTCTATTATTGCTTGACACCAACCACTGACACTTGCTAGACAGGGTAGAGGACAACCCTTTCTCTTTTATTTTTCTCTTCTTCCTAGATGGCAACTAACTCTCCCACTTGCTAGTGCCTCTGCCAAGCAAGCTAATATTTTCACAGTGGAGGTGAACGGGATCAAGATAAGTGAATAACTTGCGCAAGTTGTTTTTCATCAGTACTGGTGGTATACAACGTATTCACACGTAATACCTTCTCTTTCCCATAAGTAAAAAAGCCTATTCATTGGAAATATAGTTTATCAGTACTATATATTGTTTAGCGCTTTATCTACAATATCCATCGCATAAGTTTATTCGCTGGAAACTTTCATTTGGTGGCTCTGATGCTAATATCGATCAGAAGTATTTCCCTTGTCAGTAAGGATCCATATTTCTTGTCTCTATCCAGTCGAAACTTGTGGAAAACAATTTCTACTAGAAGATTGGGCTAAGCCACATTGCATGCCGGATAATATGTGAAGTTCCATACATTATTCTGAAATCCGAGAGATAAACATGTTCCCAGAATTATGGTCTGCAGTGGAACATAGCAGCCGAATCAGGCGGAATATAGCTTGTAAGAGCTTAGCAAGTAACAGCGAGACAGGTCAGATTGATTCGAGTTACGGACGAAGTAGGAGGCCTAGGATGGATCGTGGCAAGGAATCTCGGGTGGAAAGGCAATCGATCACTAGCTAGTGCAATGCGCACAACACAAGAAAGTTGTTAAATATGTGGATATAAGCTAAAAAGAAAAATTAAAAATTCAGCCACTAAGAACCTTTGGACGGCAGGGATGGGTCCAGTTTCTCCGCGAAAGGAGGGGTATAACCTCTGTGACCCTCGTTACGTTGCATTTTCATCTTCTCGTCTAGAGGTAAAGAGAATAGATTCTTGCTCCCCTCGAAAACCCTTCCAAGGAGCCCTTCCTCGATTCCGTGGTTAACGAGGTAGAAGAAACCATACTCTAAGCAAGCCTGCCATCACACACATACAAACCCCAGCTTTACGGGAGATAATTTCAGGAGAAATCTAACGCCATAGCGAACAATCCTCCGAAATCCAGGGTTCAAGGGGTTAAAAATTCGCCTGGCGTATCAGCTTCGCAGTCGACGCGCGGTCCAGTGACGAGAAATCGACCACGGGGAGCTCCAGAATCCCGGCCATTTCTTCCAGCGCGGGCTTCCTCGCCATCAGGCGCTCCCTCCGTCTCTCCCCGCTCCAAGAAAGGCTTACTCGAAACGCGTTGCCCTTATTGGGCCGCCATTCCAGCAACACTCTTCCACGAATCCTACTAAGCCCTTTAGGTACGTCCGGGCCCACCTGTTAAAGCATATCGAGGGCCTCAAAAGCCTGGTCCCATTCTACCTTCTAGCAGCCCCATTCGTCTCCTTTAATCTGTTACTTTCACGAGTCAAATCATATGATATATTGAATTATTATAAATAAATAAATAAAATTTAAATATCAAGTAGATTTCTGATTAATAGTGATTTTAAATTAGGGTCTAGGGATAAAGGGTTTAATAATAAAATAATAAGTATGTATGTATGGATTTAAATTTTATATGCGTTGAATGATAATAAATTTATTTCGCATTTTTCAACATTGACATCTATTTTCGATAAGTTGGAACTGATATTGATCAGCATTATCAATTTCCCCTTTTGGCTATATTATGTTATTCATTAATACATATATATGCGTTGTCCTAATATTCATAATTGAAAAACAATTATTAGATATAAAAAATGACGAAAATATGGAGATTTATCTACACACGAATTTGTGGGTCATTGATAATTGTGAATAATTAGCTTTTACAAGATGATGATTGGCAATATTGAACGTTGGAGAAACACTAACAATATTTGTTCCTGGAAAATATGAAATCTTAATTATTTTAATCGGAAATAAAAACCTTAAAGTAGTGGTTTATGTGGGATTTAATGTTGAAGTTATTTCATGCTTATAAGATTAATGCCACTTCTAGAAAACATTATAAATGCTGAATATAAGTTATTCCGATTATAACATTTAAATCAGAAATTATGCCCAACAGGGCTACCTTGAAGGTCCAAAGACGGTATATATTGTAGAGAGAGAAAGAGAGAGAGAGAGAGAGAGAGAGAGAGAGAGAGAGAGAGAGAGGAGAAATTTTGGAATAGCCATGGACCGCCCGAATGCAAAAAAGGTGTTAATGAGCCATAACAGCCCATAGCAGCGGTCAGGTCCGGCCCAGTTTTTATCCCGGGTAGCGAAGTCAACCCAGGGATTCAACTACCGTCTACCGTCCCGTGCTACGCAATTCTGCAGACACCTACCGTGCATGCCGTTTTCGTGGCGGGAGGAAAGAGACTGATACGGACCCAGGACGCTCGAATTGGCTTCGACTTCCACCACCCCTCACCGTCCCCATCCTACACAAGAAGGGGAGTTGGTAGGACTGGCCCTTTGTTGATTCGTCTACTCCACACCCTCTTTGTAGCTTCCGTTGAACCAAACGCAACCTTCCTCTCTCTCTCTCCCTACCCATTTTTCTCCCTCATCTCTCTCTCTCTAGACTTTCTCACAAAAAACTACCTTCTTCCCCGTCCCACCTCTCTCTCTCTCTAGAAAAAAATTCGTACTCTTTTTCCTCTCTCTCTCTCTTTCCATACATAATTTCTATTTATCTATATATATAATAATTCGATCAACACTAAAACATGAAGCTGATTAGATGATGTGGGCTATTATGCAGTGGAGTCTATGAACACTAAATGTGGCCCCAGTTAGTCACAGCTAGCCCAGTCGATTTTGTTTTTCGTGCTTTTAATTTAAAATTAACGATAATGACAATTATAAATGGTGTCATTTTTCAATAATTATTCGTCTTTTTTTCTTACCTCGCGGGCTCCACATTCAAACCTTTGGGTACTATAAGCACGTGTCACGTGATTGGCCGGTTGCGAGGGGTGGGGGAAGGCGTCTAAGCACGAGGAGCCGCAGGTCATTGGTCTTCTTCTTCCTCCTCTCTCTCTCTCTGTGGCGCCTCCGACCAGGCGGTTAGACGGGGCTGCAGTCTGCGGGGGGGCAAAGACATGCATTACCTTCTCCATCTCAGGTGCTTCGTGCCGACCTCTGCCTCCTCTCTCCGCTGTTGCTCAGTTGTCCCTCCTTTTGGTTTCCGTTTGAGATTCTCGTTTCTCCTTCTTCGGGCTCTGTATTAATGAGCATCGATTGGTCTTCCGGTGATGAGAGGAGAGACGAGGGGAATTCCTCTTGTTTCGGTTTCATCTGAAGGGCTTGATTGTTGATGGAGCGCGAGTGAATATAATTGGCGGAGTTTTTGCTTTTATTTATTTTATACTCTGAAGTTCGTAGTTGTGCGGTAGCTGACCGTGGAAACTGATGCAGGATGTGGAGTTGGGCAGAGGGATGAGGCAGGGGATGGGGAAGACGTCGAATTCAAGGTTGGATTCGGATTCCAAGGTCGGGGGGGATGATGGAATGGAGGAATCGCTGTCGCGTGAGGATCGCAGCAGCGTCAGAGGCGGTGGACTTGCAACGATTACCGATGAGGCGGTGGTTGGCATCGTCATCTCGGTCCCCGAGGAGGTCGCCACGCTGAAGGCGAGGTCTCCGAAGAGCATTGGCATGGGCCTGGTCATTAGTCAGGATGATAAGTTGCCGGATGCGAGTCCGAAGAAGAAGAGCTTCCTGAGAAGTGAAAGCTACAGCGAGGAATGCAGGTGAGGAATTCCCTCTTTACGATTTCTTGTATCTCACATCAAATTCAGATATCCCTACAATAGGCGACAAGGGAGAGAGAGGGAGAGAACAAGCATTCTACGATCTGATCTCACTTTAATACGTGTTTGATAAAGATCTGGGAGACTGGTGGGGTATTTGATTAGCCAGTATTGGTAGTCATCATTTTGTCGTCTTCCAATCATCAGTTTAGGCGCCTGCCCAGTTCCTTAAATGAACCTGTTATCAAATATGAATTTGGGGAGTAAATAAATCAATTTGGTTTCCTTTGATTAGCTAGAATGAAAACAGAAGATATGGGGTGCACAGTGATAGCTAAACATGGTCTCAATCTTAGGTCTCTCAGCTACGTCAAACACTTATCAGTACACGATCTGAATTCTGGTCTTTTTTTCCCCTTCCATTTCTTTCTTTGCACTCTATGGCTTTTTTGTGGGATGTTTCAGGAAAGAACTAACCAAAGATTTTCTTTCTGTATTTTTATTTTGTCAAGAAAGAATCAATTTGGTTTCCTTTTTGTATAAATATTCTTTTTGTGGAGAGCATAAAATTTTCGTTCAAAGATTTTTTTCGAATTTTCCTCCTACAAACCAATGGGATTTTTTTAGTTCCAGAATCTTTGTCAGATTTTTTCTTATACTTACGAAGTTATAGATAACATATTTTTTTCTCATCATCTTATACTGGAAACAGTGATCTCCTTCCGTAAAATCCAATTTCTGCTGTCCTCATCCATCAATCTTGTTATTTTTCTACCTCTGGTGCGTACTTTAGAGCAAGTGGTGGTGGAAGGGCAAATATTAAGATATTAATCCGTTCCAAATGCCCCCAGGGGTGGCAGAAAATCAACCAACTAAGATTGAAACAAAAAAGTTATAGATCACCATAGGAAAACTAGAGACAACATATCAGGAAAGCAATCTGTGTTGCATGATAAAGGTCCGATCCTGCACCACTTACATGTAAAATCCGACTGTGTATGCAACAGAATGATTCGAAACCTTCTTCGTGAACATTTTTGTATCATTATCGAATTTCGTTGTTCTTTCTACATGTCTTGTCGACTTGCTTAAACATGAGTTTGAAGTAACTCAAAATTATGATAGCGCATTGACGTGAAAACTGTTAGATTATGTGAGGATACATCTCGATTTATCTATATGTCCCAGTCATTTTATGTCTGTATGGACGTGAAGAATATGGTCCTTTTGATTTCTTTCAAAAGCCCTAAAAATCCAGCAGGATTCCAGAATGTCTTTATTAACGTTATCAAGCGTTCGACGAGGGTTATTTCGGAATTGTTGTGTACTATGCGTCATTGACCTTGTCTCCATAGCTTCTAACTGATCTTTTTTCCTTAGTGTAATTAAACGATTACTTGAAATGGGAACCATTATGAATATACATTCATCCATCTAGGTTTTATTTTCTCTTTTATTTCCTTAAACTATGCACAACACAGACCGTATCCTGAACCTTATCTTAAACTATGCATATCTTGAGCCCCAGATTCTCAACTGTATGAAGTGATGAAATTCATTCTAATTGACTGTGATATCTGCCTTACCCTAATAAACATGTACCTCTCCAAATTTTATGCCAAGGGAATCCTAGTCCTGAGCTTTATGGCCACTAAATGTGACGAGCTCCACGATCGTTTGAGTCTGGTGTGAGGAATTTTGCAGATGTTGTAACATCTGAACCATGTTAAGTATGCAGCATGGCAGTAATTCAGATCACGTGAAGACTTTCATAGATAATGATGTGTCTCTTTCTATTTATAACATTTAAAATGTTGACGCGCATGTGTACACACTATTGTTCTATTTATAAACTATAACCATTAAAACAAACCTAAACTTCTTATAAAGTATGAGATGTCTTAACCTGTCTTTGTAATCATTTAGGTATTGATGAGTGAGTAGCAACTGGCCACCAGTGGAACAACCATTTTTATTTATTTACCTGCTTACAGTTTTCTACGTTTATATCTTGCCTTAAAAGTCGCTGGGAAAACATCTATTAATTCCAAGTTAATACTAAAAATCTGTGTGAATTTATACACGGTTTATTTAATTTATTGAGCGTGTATTATATACTCCTTGCTATTATCTGGCCCGATCTGACCTGACCTTAGATCACAGCTTTCCCAAAAATTTCATACGTAGCAACTCTAGTTGTTGGTTTAATATGTTCAGAAAGGGTAGTAGTAGCAGATCTTTCAGAAGCAAAAGTCGTTTTGGTGAGAATAAGTTGTTTCATCAAGGTTCGATTCAAATTGGTTTATGATTCCTCATGTTGTGTTTTTGTTGTTTGTTGTGTAAGAGTTAGAGTTGTGCCACTTTAGTCATATGAAAAAATTACTGACAAGGGAAATGCCCTTTTTAAGCATCCATCTAAGATAAAGATCATTTTATCTGTTGAGGAACCAGATGTATATTTTTCATGATGATGAGGTTTTAGTGCTTCTAAGTCCCCATGTTTTTTTTTAAACACGCGCTTAACACAAAAATAATTTTATATGTTGAGGAACTAGATGTAAACTTTTCATGTTGATCAATTTTCGGTGCTGATGTGTCCCCAGAAACTAATGCATCTGAGACTTTAAATGCCACATGGATGAGGGTAAGCCACCTAGTGGGTGTTTATTATTATAGCTGCGGATTATCTTTTACATATGAGAAAAAAAATGTACGTGAGATTTTTACTGAATAGCGTCTATTGTGCCTATTATGTCGTGGACAGGTTTGTGTCGTGGATCGATATTTGCATAATATTCCATGGCGATTGCTTCTTGGCTAGTTTATCTCTGATTAATGTTTAGTATTGTCGTCAGCTATGTGGAACAGTAGGAGAATATTTACCATTGAGGTTGACGTGTCCATCCTTTTGCCCTACAGAGTCTGTCAGCAATCGTCAGATGAGCCTCTGATAGATCTTGGATGCAGATGCCGGGGTGAGCTCGCAAAAGCCCACCTGTCCTGCATCAAGATTTGGTTCCAAACTAGGGGTTCAAACAGATGTGAGATTTGCCAGTAAGTATACAATGGCCTCATCGCAAATTTTAATTTGAACCTCATGTAAAGTGGGGGAGTATTTTTAATGCTTATGTTACAGGGAGATAGCTGCAAATGTGCCTCTTCCAGAGACCCAGCCTTCTGTAAGTCTTTTTTTTCCTGATGGGTTTTTAGTTTGATTACCAATTTTTGGTTTTACATACTACTTGAAACATTGATAACCCGTTTTTACTTGCTCCTTAAGTCTCTCAGAATTTCCCAACTCTTGGTTTTTATTCCTCTGACATATCCTAAAATATTCAAGGGTGGTCCATTACATTCCGCCATTATTTCAATGGTTTTTCTATATTTTCTTATCCCAAATGAATAAGTTCAGAATGATAAGGCCATAAATTAGTTCAGGGCTTTTGCGACTATTTCAGTTGAGCACATAAATCTCTCTCTCTCTCTCTCTCTTGTCGTGGAATTAAGTTAATATAATTTATGTATCATGCCATTTTTGCTTTGGGCTAATTTCATTTCGATATCCTTATGCTTGCCATGTGGCAGGAAAATTATTGGATTTGGAGAATTGAGCCAGTTTTTGGAGGTTCCACTATGGTACAGGAAGAACGGGAAAGGGTATGCGGTGTTTGCACGGTTATTTTATCCTGGCAAATCATGAGAATATTATTTTTTTGCCATTTGTTTCCTCCGTTAGCTTTTTATTCTTTTAAATTCTTGCAACAGGGTTGCCTTAGCCCATTGTGGATTGCATTCTGCATTTTAATCGGCGGGCTGTTCTTGGATGTCCTGATATCAATTTCTCTCGGTGTCTCTGCATTGCCTGAGAACATCATAATCGGTATGCCCTTGAAATTTGTTGCCAATTTTAGTACTCAATGCTGTTTCCCCTTGATATTTTCTTCAATATTTAATCCTCAAAAGCTTTCTTAGTAGTACCTGAGCAGTAGGAGATCGACTATTGGAAACCATGAGAAAATGATTTTTCAGATTATTTAAATGCTCCTCATTACTTCTATTATTAGGATAAATATCGCAACTTAATCCTCAGTTTCTTCTAGGTTTTGCACGATTCTATAACAAAAACTGGTGAAACCCAAAGAAAAACGATTATCAGGGTTTTTGGAAGACTAAAAACTATAATTTGTGGATTTGAAAGCTAGAATCCCTTTTTTTAAAGTAGAGCTTTCCTTGTTTTTTTATCAGCTAGAAGCCTACATCTTCTCCTCCAAGGTGAGATCCTTATGTTCTGAGATTGGTAGCTCGAGTCTTTTGAAAAAAACATAAGACATGTCATTTATTCAGTGAATAATTTCGTGTCAAGAGTACAGAAAATGAAGTGAAAGACGTGTAAAAATAGAAACACACAATATTGGCCTTGTAGCATGGTATGAGGCTAGGTGCAATGGTTTCTCTTGAGACTAAGATGCTGATGCATACGTTTGCAAGCTGGTTCAAGATGACCCAAGATGATTTAAGTCAAACAACAGTTTCCTCATTTTAGAACACGTCACCTGAGTCAGCTCAAGTCGACTCCAATCAGCTTAGATTAATTTGGGCTTGTAAACTGGAGGTTCAATTTATTTCCAAGATTGAAGTCAAATAGCACCTTCCTCATCTAGAACCTGCGACCTGAGTCAGCTCAAGTTGACGCTTCCAATTTGGGCTTTGTGGACTAATGGCTTGGCCCCTATTCATTTCCAAGGTTGACGCCGAACATTATCTTCGTCAACTAGAACATGTGATCGGAGTCAGCTCGAGTAGACTCCAATTGCCTTCAAATTTGGGCCTGTGGACTTGAGACTGGGCCCAATTCATTTCCAAGATTGAAGTCAAACATCTCCTTTCTCGCCCACATCTGATCCGAGTAAGCCCAAGTTGACTGCATCTGAAGTCGTTTTCAAACCCAGGCTCCTCAGCCTTATCTAACCCGAATCCCAAGATATCTAGCTGATAACCTATTCCCTCTGGCAGCTAAGTTAAGTCGGAACCAATGGGGGTTGCAGATTCAGACCCAGACTCCGAAAAATAGCATTAAATCTGCACCTGATTTATGGGTTTAAATTAACCTTGGAACTAGAAAAACTAATTCTTCTGGTATCATAGTTTGGTCTTCACCACTGATTCTTCTGGTATTGTCCCAGGGAACACAAACAGGGAACACAAACAGAAGTGAACTTTCTCTTGATGGCATTTTTCCGAACAGCTTCATGCATATTGTATATTCCTGCTTGTGGGAGTAGGCCAATCGAACCCATGGCTATTCTGGTGGAGACTACGTTGAATCCGCATGGAGAGAGAACGTAGTCTCTTCTGGGAAGAGAGTGAGAGAGAGCTAGTTCTGGTCCTGTTCTGATCAGCTAATGGGGAAAAGAGGGGAGACAAGTGTTTGATCCGGAAAAGGGAGAGACCCTGTACTGGTAGAGAGAGAGGGAGGCGGAGAGATGTGAGAGGGAGAGGTGGGGGGAGAGAGTTGCTTGTAGCCTCGTCCCCATTGGTTGATTAGGACAGGCATCAGAACTATGGTAGTCTCTCCCCTCCAGATGCAGCTTTGTCTCTCATCCTCGCAGTTCTTATGCCAGTGCTAATTAATGCGAGCCTCTGAATCCGCGCTGTCTACAGATTACTACTGAAGAAGGGAGTCTCTCTCTTCTCTCTCTCTCTCTCTCTCTCTCTATTTCATCAAGCTTCCAAACTAAACCCACGGTTTTAACAGACTGTTACCGTCCCGGAGCTCTTCACTTTTAGAGTTGAAGGGCCACAGAAGCACTGACCGGAGAATGACGTGTGAACATCGCAGGCGTCCTCATCATGCTGGGTCTGGGTACCGCTCTCCGACTCTCTTTGGAATGCTGCCACGGTTGGAGACTGCGGCGAAACGCCCCTGCCCCTGCCGATACAGTCGCCAATCCTCCGCCTCGCCCCCTTGAAGTCTAGCCTCCACACTCATGTACGTACTTACCTTGCACAGAATAGGAGGAATGATGACATGGATATGGGAGAGCGAGAGAGAGAGAGAGAGAGAGAGAGAGAGAGAGAGAGAGAGAGAGAGAGAGAGACGTATTTATTTATGGCAAAGGTGAAGCCCCCAGTCTGTTATGAAGACCCCCCATTCTTTTGAGGGGTTCCATGTGCCTGCCTCCTGGATTCCCGCATCGTCGTGGACTCCAAGGGGCGGGGGGGAGCTCCCCTACCTTCTCCTCCTATTTATTCTTAACTGTGGGGCAGCCGATTGGGTCGCTTCAGTAGCTTCTTCCGGTACTTCAAATGGCTTTTACCTGCCGTCGTCTCCTCCTGGGTCTTCTTCTTCTTCTTCCCCGATTGGGGTGCTCTGCGGCTGAAGCCGAGAGCCCCTTCTCCCCCAGAGCGAGCTTGCTCCGGCAGTGGAAGCGGCTCTTCGCCTCCGAGCAGATGCCCAGCATCCTCCTGGACAAGGCCTCCCCGCTGAACGCTACCCAGGTAGCCGCCTTCTCCCGCTACATCGCCGACGGCACTCTCCCCAGCCACCTCCGTGTCTTCTGCTCTGCCGCCAACCTCTTCTGCGACGACAAGAACCCGGCCAACGTCACCAGCGACGTCTCTGGCGACGCGGAGTTCGAGAGCTACAGCAACAAGGACTTCCGGCGGTACCAGAAGGGCACAGTCTTCGGCGGTGACAACTTCAAGAACTACTCCGTCGGCGAGAACGTCGCCCGGGACACCTTCCTCCGCTACGGCCAGGACGGCACCTCCGGGTTCGAGCAGTTCACCAACTACGCTCTCACCACCAACGTCGGTGGCTCCGGCTTCACCAGCTACGACGACAACAGCAACGGCGGCGGCGGGGTCTTCCATAGCTACGGCATGCAGAGCAACGTCCAGGGCCACGACTTCGCCGCCTACGGCGCAGACAGCAGCGCGGTCTCCGACAGCTTTACTTCCTACTCGGAGGAGTCGAACGTCGTCAGGAACGATTTCAAGGGCTACGGAAAGGACGCCAGCTCCATGCCCAGCACGTTCACGGGCTACTCCACCAAGTCCAACGTCGGCACCAGCACCTTCAAGGGCTACAGCGCCGGCGGCAACGGGGGCACCGGCATGTTCCAGAGCTACGGCGAGTCGGAGAATATCGCCCGTAGCGACTTCCTCTCCTACGGCGCCGATGGCAACGGCGACTTCAACCAGTTCCGCTCGTACGGCGAGCAGGCGAGCCAGTCGGACAACTCCTTCCGCTCCTACGCCAAGGGCAACAACGCGCCATTGGAGGACTTCTCCAACTACGGCAACTCCACCACCTCCTCGAAGAACGAGTTCGTCGAGTACAATAAGGACGCCGGCGGCGTCGATCCCTTCCTTCGCTTCACAACCTACGTCGGCAACCAGACTTCCTTCAAGCAGTACTTCCGCACGCCGGGAACCTTCATCGATTACATCAATAGCAGCCAGGCTTCGGCGGCCGCCACTGTGGAGCCGGGGAAGTTCTTCCGGCGGGCGAACCTCGCCGAGGGAAAGAGCATTCCCATGCCGGATATCCGCGACAAAATGCCGCCGCGTTCGTTCCTCCCTCGGGCGCTCGCCCAGAGGCTGCCGTTCGGGTCAGCGCGGTTGCCGGAGCTCGTCCGCCTACTGGGCGCCGCCGTCCTGCAGGGGTCGATGGCGAAGACTGTGGCGGAGTGCGAGCGCCCTGCAGTGAAGGACGAGATAAAGAGATGCCCGACGTCCCTGGAGGCGATGGCCGAGTTCGCCGCCTCAGTACTGGGGAAGTCGGCGGCGGTGTCGACCACGGCGAGCACCGCCGGGTGGGGGAAGACTCTGGTGGTGGGGAAGGTAGCGCCCCGCCGGGGGGGCGGAGAGACGGCGGCGGTGTCGTGCCACCAGAGCCTGTTCCCGTACCTGGTCTACTACTGCCACGCGGTACCCAGGGTGGCCGTCTACGACGTAGAGCTCAAGGAGGACGCCAGAGGGGAGGTGGTGAACCACGGGGTTGCGATATGCCACCTCGACACGACCCAGTGGAGCGCCGGGCACGCGGCGTTCGTGGCGCTGGGGCCGGCGCCGGGGAAGATCGAGGTCTGTCACTGGATCTTCGAGAACGATCTCATCTGGGTGGCCCGTGACGGGTGATGGGAAAACCTTGTACTTGCCGGCGGCTCCCGCCGTCCAATAACTAAGCCTCCATCCTCCCCCTTCTTCTAGGCGGCATCCCTCCGCCCGCTGCCGTGCTCGTTACCGTTCCAAAATAGGTAGAGTTCCGAGCTGACAATGGGTCCCAAGGCGGAACCGTCCTCCCCCTTCCTCTAGGTGACATCCTTCCGGAGAAGCCCCCTCGTTACGGCGGCTTTCGCGCCGCTGTCCCCCCATGGCAGCTAGTGCAGTAGTGTCGTCGTATTATTTAATATTTTTGGCATTGAGGTGAGGGTATATAATGTTAAGCAGCTAATTTATAAAAGTAGAGTTCATTATTAAGACGAATTGCATAATATATGTTAGTTTCACATAATTCGCTGTATCCGTGCTTCCGAGTTCACCGGCCCTTTTTGAAGGTATAACAGGCCTTAAGATATGTTAGAAAGAATGTGAAGAGGCGCGTTTTGGTTCTTAAAAAGAAATTGTTTTGCTGAGTTTTAGATAGTTTTGTTTACCTTGAACCCAGTCTACATATGGGTCTATACAGTACGTTTACTCATTATTTAGGGCTGTACGAATAAAAATTGACATTATTTTCTAGTGGTTTGATCTTACCTAGATTGTCTACTTGTAAGTGTATTTTATCTTTTGTTTCTCGTAGTATCTATGATGTGATAACTATGTAAATTTAACAGATCAATACATATTCATTACATCATTTATTTCACAAGAAAAATTGATATACTATGACCTTTATGTTGTTAAAGCTTTAATTGTTAAAGCTTATTTGAGTTGACCTTTATGTTGTACAACTATAATAAATTGATAAGATTCATAAGTGTAACAAAGTGGCCATACTATGACGAACTTTTGATCAGGTCACTCTTTAGAAGTGTTGTAGTGAGATTCTAGGATTTTTTTTATCATCATACATGTGAGGATATGTTGCAATTGGTTAGAGAGACGTTCACACATGTTAGCCATTCTAGGATATATGACATGTAAGATATTTCGTAGATCCTCTTAGTTTCTTTCCTACTCTTGAAATTTGATTTGACTCTAGATGGGTTGACCCATGTGTCAACTTGATAAATATTTTATGATGAATTTGGCCCATCATTTTGACTTAATTCACCAAGTCACCAAGTAGACTCATCAATTCTCATAGGTCCACCCATTGAGAGCTTCAGTCAATACTTCTTTAGGAAATGCTTTTACTTTGTTTAGTATTGTGAGTGAAATTTTGAATCCAAAAATAGTGTATTGGACCTAATAATTTATATACATTTTTAAAAAATAATGCAATAATATAATATTTATGATGAACTTTTTTATCTTTTATGATCATTTTTCAACATCAAAATAATTAAAGAAACGTGTACTAGGTGAGTTATTGATTAGTTGCTGCAAGGTTCTAATGTGACGCAAATTGAATGAGAAAGGTTTATGCAATATTAGGGAGGGTGTTATAGTATAGAAAGTTAGTGATTGTGTATATACATTTATTTCAAATTTATGTGCCTGATCTAAGATCACTAATAAATTAGATAAAAAAAGTAATCATATTTTGTATTAAACCTGAAAAAGGATCACTAGACATCAGTAAAAAAATTGAATCTATTTGCTAAACATTTGCTAGTTAATGTTGAAGTTAAATAAGTTACAATCTTGATTGGATATTGAAAAATGTATAAACAAGATACATTCTAATATAAGTATGAAAATATTAAGATTAAAATTTGAGTCATCAAACTAGAAAAGATAGCGGACCAAACAACAAGAAGAATAAACTAGCACTCCAAGTTCATGTGAAGGTAGAATTTTGTACCTTAGAACTATTGTCCTCATTGACACCACTTCTAAGTTGGAATTAAATCATCAAGTTTTTGTCAACTTTTGTTAATCTAAGCATTTGACAGATCACTATTAAGATGTTGTGTTTGAAACTTGAAATATCTCTTTTGTTTTCTAACTCTTTTGATGATTAAGTCCACAAGAGATAAGAGGGAATCTGCCTATCGTTACTTTGAAATACCAAACATTGAATATCATGGTTAGAGTAATATATAATCAAAGATAAGATTATTTACATGATTTTCTTATTCCAATTTAATTATATACATATCCTTTCATTGGAGAATAATTCTTCAACTAATAATCTTTCGTTGATCAGACATTCATAATATGAAGAATCACTTGATTTCAAAGATTAGCACCTTAGATTTTATTGTTAGTGATAGGATCATAAAATCATCAAACATAATTCTTATGATAACAAGTTTAATCATATTGAACATTTGAAGCACATTAGTGACATATATAGAATTTTCACTTTGACTATCAAAGATAAAGGCATCAACAATCTTTTGATTTTTTATACTAACATACTATTGAGAGAATTTATGCAATCATATAATATTGATGTAACATAATGAAAATAAAATAATTTTGATATTAAATAAGAAATTTAAATCTCCACTCACATAAAAAATTACAACGTCCAACACATTTAATATTTATCATTTGAAATGTCATATCTTCCTCTTGAATGAGTGCTCCTCCCAAATCTATACACTCACTCAATCATACTCCACTCTCACGTTTAGTATTTGTCAGATCAAAAGGACAAAAAAAGGTTGGCAATGAGAAGAAAATCCATGGTTGAGGAGATGATTACAAGAAAAGTAAATTAATATTTTATATTTTGTCTTCCAACTCTCAAAATCTTTCTTCAAATGTTAATGGTAGATGAAAGGCTTTGATGGTATGGATACTTGCATTCAACATTCCAGTCAATGGGGTCAGAAATGTATTGACTATCATTCTGTGAATATTTAAAGGTGGGCCCAAGGGTATATTAAGGATAGAGTTTTAACTTTTTGGGTATAAGACTTATTTTTGTCCTTTTGACATAAGTGGATGTTATGGTAGAGGTCAAACATCTGCACTTAATTAGGATAAGTATCAATAATGTCTAAAACAAGATGTGTAATTTCAAGGACATCAAAATATATTTTAAGACTAATTTTCTGGGTTTCAAACTATGTGAAATCAATAAGCTTGCATTTAAGTAACTTCTGATTCATAAAAGATATTTGATATTTATTTTGACGTACTATAGAAGGAAAATGAGTTTGTGACTATTTAGGAGATGATAGCTTGGTGGGTGAAAGAACATTATTTGTTGTAGTTGATTCAATCTGAATATTTTCAGGTGAGAAAACTTTTGTGGATAATTGTGTATGTCTAAAATGAACTATGATAAAGCTATCTAAACCTATATTAGAAGAGGAAGGTGTGCAGTTGGTGAGAGTTGTTCATTGGTGAGTGTGAACATAAGGTAAGATGGTGAGGACTTAAGCAAGTAATAGGAAGTTCATTTAAGCAACATAATGAGAAGAGTGTTTCCATGGGGAATATTTACGGGTGATTTGTTTCTTTGAATCTTTCTTAGAAACTTTTAGACATTTGTAGGCTTTGGAGGGATTAACAATAGGATGGAATGACGAATTTGAAATATAGGGTTTACAAAAAAAGGTAGACTAGAATATGATAGAAATGCATAAAATGATGTTGAAGAAATGAAATGCAATAGACTAACTAGTAATATTTAATTTCAGTTTTTCTCAAAAGGTTCTTAAAAAGATCCTGATCAACAAATAAGAAGATATTTTTCCAAAGAGATAAGATAGAGAATGAGATGGTTTGAATAAGTTGAAATGTAAAGTTTCAAACCTTTAATAGGGAAAGAAGGATAGAGATGATATTTGATCATTCAAGGTATCAAAATATGTTGTTCAATCTCTAATTTCGTTCATATGATAAAATTAGAAATTTAATCATTATTTATGTGTTGACACTAATGGCTACACATTAATTATAAATTATATAACTAAAATAAAAATAATAGAAAATTAGATGAAATAAATCATGACATAATTATTTTAAGGTCAACATTGTGTTATGAACTCAAATTAAAATATTATTCAATCTACAGATTCCAAGTTCATGCACTACTGAATTTAATCTCTCTTTGAAAAAGAGTTTTTGTAAAAATTTTAGTCAATTATTTTGTTGTCTCAATAAAATTCAATTCAGTGTTCACTTTTTGCACATGATCCTTGATAAAATGATGTGTAAAGTAAGTTTTTTAATTTATGATCAGATTCTTAACTAAGTTTATGGTAGTTAGTTGTCACAATATGTGAGTAGTCCTTTTAATTTTAATCTATAGTACTCTAATTGATATTTAACCCAAAGTAGCAAGCACATAATTTGCCAACTAAAACATATTCAACTTCAATCATGTATAATATAATAGGATTTTTTTTCTTAGAATTCTAAGAAATGAAACAACCAGCTAAAATAGGTATGATCAACTAGTATTGTTTTGATCAATTTTTATATTTTTATAAAATCTGAATTATAGTATCCTAAAATATTCAAATTTTGATTCTTAGGATGTTATACACTTTGGGCTTATGTTCCAATTGAAATCTAAAATGTTTTTGACAGCTAGGGAAACCATTTTGGATTACAATATCTTGCATATATGTATGTACTAAATAAAATATCAGGTCGACTAGAAATGAAATATAATAAGGATCAAATCATTCTATATATTATATTTTATAAAATATGAATTATAGTATCCGAATATATTCAAATTTTGATTCCTAGGATGCTATACACCTAGGGCTTATGTTCCAATTGAGTATCTGACATGCTTTTGACAGCTAGGGAAACCATTTTGTATTAATAAAATATCTTGCATATATGTATATACTAAATAAAATATTAGGTCTGCTAGCAATTACATATAATAAGGAACAAACCATCTAATATATTTTTTTATCCATTTAATTTCTTGTCTTATCTCATCTAAGTTCAATTTTGAATTTGTATCACTTGGAGTTCTTTTGGTTTTCAAATCCTTCATTTTGAATTTCTTAAGTAGTTCTCTTGTACATTTTTTTTTGAGATATGAAAATTTTATT